AGGCCAAGATCCTCCAATTCCTGAGTCAAACGAGCGATTTTGGCATGTTGGGACCCTCTTGGGGGGTGCTCCTGGAAGCGTCCTGAGCCATGTTTGAAGCCTCTTGGGAGCTATCTGAAGCCCCCTGGGGCTCTCTTGAAGCGGAAGCCCTGGGTTTTCCGAGCGCGGTCCGTCTCTTGGACACCTTTCGGGCCTGTTTGGGGCCCTCGTGGGCGGCCCTGGGCGCTTCTTGGGCCAGCCTTGGGCCCTCTGGGACCGCCTCGGGGCGGCCTTGGGCGCTTCTGGAGCTGTTTGGGAGCGGTCTCGGAGGTCTCCTGGGCCGCCTAGGAGCGTCGGACAGCCGCCGAGATCAGAAGGCCAACCCTCCAAGACTATTGAAAAAATCAATGTTTGGCCTGCTGGGGCCCTCGTGGGAGTGCTTTTGGAAGCGTTTGGCGCCATGTTGGAGGACTCTTGGGGGCCGCCCGGGGCCTCCCGGGTCACGCAGGGAAGGGGGCAGGGGGAAAAAGGCCAGAGAGCGCTGAAGGATACAAATACTGGAACCCTCTTGTGATTTTGTGGGGGGCCTCGGGAGTTGAACACGCCACGGTGCGTGCCACGGGCCTCGATGCGTTCCTTTGCCGCAAGTGCTGCACCGCCGCCGCTATTTTTTGTTTCGGACTTTCCACAAGCTTGCAGTCGACGCCCACAGACGAGCGGCCCTAGGCACCCACGGGAGCCCCAGCAACGCGTAGCGCCCTATTATTCTACAATTTTCAACTACCCACTGCCACAGAAATTATCCAGCCATTCCAATACCTCGCTCAATGCAGCGACGGGCTCGCCCGTGGGATGGAGTCCCCGCAGTCTCCGTGTTTGTTGAGGTGCCGCGAGCATCTGCAGTTGTCGAGCACCATCAGCAGACGGGGCCCAACTTGTTGGTGTGTTTGTTTTCCTTCCCCTCCTCCGCCTTCACCCCCCCTCCCCCGATTGAGGGGTGCTGCTCGTGCACGCCGCGCATCGTACGGCCTTTTGGCTACCCAGTTTGAGTCTGCCAGGGCCCTCGCGCCAGATCCTTCGCCCGGTCCTCCCAGCGCGTCGTGTCCATCCAGTGGGCTCCGAGACTTCCACCGAAAATGGTGATACATGATCTGCCAGTTGTTATAACATGTGATTCCTTTTGCCCTCACGTCTCACACCGCCTGTCACTGTAATTTATATTGGCTCGAAGTGCGCCGGCAGCGGCGCAATCCATATATTACCGAGCCGTCGCGACAGCAGGCAGTGCTCAAACAGTACTGGCTCGGGCTGCACCTTGTATTGAAAAAATACATCTAGCGAGTCAGGCATCAGTCAGGGACTTGCAGTGGCACATCCTCCAGACCATGGCTAACCCAAACCCGCTGTGCGTTGTGGAAGTCCCCTTGCCTGCCCTTCAGTTTCTTGGCCCAGGGGTTAGTCCTCCCGCTCCTCTGGTCTGGTCCTCCCGCTCTTGCTGTCTGGTCTTCCCGCTCCTCTTGTTGGTCTGGTCTGTTCCTCCCGCTCATCTGGTCTGGTCCTCCCGCTCTTGCAGATGTTACGGCTTGCGCCGCACCGCCGACCTCTTTGGGGGCCCTTGATGGTTTCTTGCTGGTTCGTCGTTGTAGCAGCCTCTGGGAGCTGCGCGACCTTTCGAAAGAACGACACCATGCTGACGAGGGGTGTGGTCAGACACGTAGGGATCATGTTGGGGTTTCTGAGGACCTTATAATCGAAGACGCCTACGGCGAATCACTGCCGCCCAGTGCCTTTTTGGAAACGCCTATGTGGCCGAACGTTGGGCTAGAGCTTGGCCAAACTATCGGGCCATGAGTTCCCCGAGTCGGTTTGGAAAGCCTTCGGGGAACACGTGGGGGATAATGGACACAAAGAGGAAGAGGACTAGAACGAGGAAGAGGAAGAGGAAGAGTCGGAGGAGGAGGCTTCTTGGGAGCCTCTTCGGGCACTCTTGGGGCCTGCTGGGAGCATCCTGAGTGCCTCTTGGGGGCCTCTTGGGGGCCTCCTGCTGGGGGCCTTTGGGGACCTCTTGGGGGCCTCTTTGGCCGTCTTAGAAAATTCTTGGTCGTCGGGGGCCGTCTTGGAGGTCTCTCTGAACCGACTTGGGGTCCTCTTGGGGCGCCTCAGGGCCATCTTGGAAGCCTCTTCGGCCGTCTTGGAACCCTCTTAGGGCCGTCTTGGGGACCTCTTGGGCCGTCATGGGGCCATCTTGGAGCCCTCGTGAACGATCTTGGCGCGACCTTGGGGGCCTCTTGGGCCGTCTTCGGCCGACGGAAAGCCGAAAAGGCGCAAATGCCAAAATCTTTCAAACACCATAAGAACATCAATGATTTGTTCCCTCTTCGGGCCTCCCTTGAGGACCTCTTGGAGGCCTCATGGGCCGTATTGGAGGCCTCTTGGGGGCCTCTTGGGCCATTTTGAGGCCGTCTTAGGCCGTCTCGAGTGCATCTTGGCTCGTCTTGGAGGCATCTTGGAGCCATCTTAGCCGTCTTGGAGGCCATCTTGGTCGTCTTAGACGCATATTGGCCGTCTTGGACGCGACAGGGGGAACCGCCCAGGCATTGTCCCAGACCCCAGCGGGGCTGGCCGAAACCCCATGAGGAGATCTTTTGGAAAAAGAACCAAAACCAAAACCGAAAGGATCCAGCACGCCAGGCACCCCTGTGATGAATCAACAGGGGGCGGCGGATTTAATGCTCTTCGGCCCATGCCGCCACCGGGCCTGGGTTGTGGGTCAGAGTCCTCCAGGATGTTTCTTCTCTTCGGAACGCTCTTGGGGGCCTCTGGGAGGGCAGTTTTGATGCCTCTTAGGAGCTTCTTGGGGTTCTCTTGAAGCGGGGCCTCTGTGGGGCTTCCTGGGTGCCTCTTGGGGACCTCTGAGAAGCTGATAGGGGGGCTTTTTTATGATAGCTTTCCGAAAGGATTTCGAACGATTTGTGAAAGGATCCTGGAAGGCCCCGTTGGAAGGTTGATGGGGGGCTTATACATATAACGGCGCACCGGGTCCGGGGGCCCGGGGCCGGGACCTCGACCGCAAATGTGCACCCCGGGGGGCCCGGAGGCTCGTCGGGGCTTGCCGGAGGCCTCCCCGGTCAGACAAGACGGCCCCAGAAACGCCCAAGACGGCCCAAGAAACTTCCAAGAGGCCTCCAAGAGGGCTCCGAGATGCTGAAGATGGCCTCCAGACGTCCAAGGACGCCCCCCAAGACGCCCCAAGAAGCCTCCAACATGCGTCCCAAGAGGGCCCCTAGACGCAAAAATTGGCCCATTCCCTTCGTAAAACGTACATTTTTCACAAAGTTGCCTTTTGGGCTTTCCGACATTACAGGACGGCCCAAGAGGCGCCCAAGACCGCCCCAAGACGGCCCAAGAAGCTCCCAAGAGTGCCCCAGGACAGCCCAAGAGGGCCCCAAGACGGCCCAAGAGGCGCCCAAGATGGCCCAAGAGGGCCCCAAGACGGGCCCAAGAGGGGGCCCAGAGGGGGACCACGAACCGCAAGCTCGAGCCTTCCGCCCCAAGAGGCCGCCAGGAGGCCCCCAGGAGGCCCCTCAAGAGGCCCCAGGAGACCCCAGACGTCCAAGGACGCCCCCAAGAGGCTCCAAGAAGCCTCCAACATGCGTCCCAAGAGGGCCCCTAGACGCAAGAATTGGCCCATTCCCTTCGTAAAACGTACATTTTTAACAAAGTCGCCTTTTGGGCTTTCCGACGTTACAGGACGGCCCAAGAGGCGCCCAAGACCGCCCCAAGACGGCCCAAGAAGCTTCCCAGAGGGCCCCAGGACAGCCCAAGAGGGCCCCAAGACGGCCCAAGAGGCGCCCAAGATGGCCCAAGAGGGCCCCAAGACGGGCCCAAGAGGGGGCCCAGAGGGGGACCACGAACCGCAAGCTCGAGCCTTCCGCCCCAAGAGGCCGCCAGGAGGCCCCCAGGAGGCCCCTCAAGAGGCCCCAGGAGACCCCAGACGTCCAAGGACGCCCCCAAGAGGCCCCAAGAAGCCTCCAACATGCGTCCCAAGAGGGCCCCTAGATGCAAAAATTGGCCCATTCCCTTCGTAAAACGTACATTTTCAACAAAGTTGTCTTTTGGGCTTTCCGACGTTACAGGACGGCCCAAGAGGCGCCCAAGACCGCCCCAAGACGGCCCAAGAAGCTTCCAAGAGGGCCCCAGGACAGCCCAAGAGGGCCCCAAGACGGCCCAAGAGGCGCCCAAGATGGCCCAAGAGGGCCCCAAGACGGGCCCAAGAGGGGGCCCAGAGGGGGACCACGAACCGCAAGCTCGAGCCTTCCGCCCCAAGAGGCCGCCAGGAGGCCATCAGGAGGCCCCTCAAGAGGCCCCAGGAGACCCCCAAGAGGCCCAAAGGAGGCCCCGAGAAGCCCCAACTCGGCCCCCAAAATCCTTCGAACCTGCTTCCAGGAAGCCCCCGACAGGTTCAGAGGCTCCCGAGAAGCTACGTCAAACTCCCAGCGAGCGACGGGACGCCCCTCCCCCTCCTCCTCCTCCTCCTCCTCCTCCTCCTCCTCCTCCTCCTCCTCCTCCTCCTCCTCCTCCTCCTCCTCCACCGCGAGAGGAGTTCAGACTCAAGAGCGCAAGCCAACGCCAGCGCCGTCCGGCGCACGCGCGTACGACTACACTCAATGCCCCTGCTGGCCGGCATTGAGGAAGCCAAGTGCCCGCCGGCAACGCTGCGCCGCAGTGCCCACGCAGGCTGAGCAGGGAAGCAAGAGGACGAGGAAGCAGGGGGGGCGCACCCGCGCCGAGCGGCCAGGCATCCAGCCAGCCAGCCAGGACAGTCAAAGATAAACGAAACTTCACTGGCTCCAGCCAGCCTGCGCTGGCGAGGTCGAAATTCGAGACGCTGCGCCGTCATGCTTCCGCGCCTCGCGCGCAGAGCCGCCGCGCATCATACCTACTACACCCCCTCACCCCCTCCTCATACTCATGTTACCCTCCACCTCCACATCCTCGCCCTCCCCCCGCTGTAGGTCGCGATGCCGCGCAGGGCATTCCTCGGCAGGCCACGGGAGCCCGAGCTGCCGCGGTTGCTTCCTGCGCCAGCTGCTCTGCATCAACACCACGTGTTCGCACAAAAACTCGTGAACACGCATGATGTCGGCCCCGATGCCGCGCCGGGCAGCAGGCCGCGGGAGCTGCGGCCGCCGCGGCTGCTTCCTGCGCCAGCTCGTCTGCATCAACACCACGCGTGTCCGAACAAGAACTCGCGAACACACAGGAACAGAAAGCTGCGCAATCGGACTCATCGAGGCCAACGGCTCTTCGTGCACCTATTCCTTCGCAATTGCTGGCGTCGGCGGAACGACCCCCGTGGCCACGGCGCGCAGGCTCCGCAGGGCCCGGAGGCGGCCCAAGAGGCCTCCAAGACCGCAGAGAAGGAGGGGGCCGGATCCGCAGCAGCTGTACGCAGACAGCACGACGAGGAGAACGCGGAAGCCGCACATCTCTCTCTGGGGTCGGCGGAAAGGCGGAAGCCTCTCCAACAGGAGTTTGAAAGTAGGCGGCAAAGCGACTCTTGAATCATCCACAAGTCAGTAGCAGAAGTAAAGGGGAGAAGAGAGAGAGAAAGAGAGAGAGAGAGGGAGAGAGAGAGAGAGAGAGGGAGAGCGAGAGAGACACAGGGAGAGAGAGAGAGAGAGACAGGGAGAGAGAGAGAGAGAGAGCGAGAGACGGAAGATAGAAAAAGGGAGAGCACTTGTGGCAACGGCCATATCTGCTTATATACATATGCACGCATATAGAGAAGATATTTCAAGATATCTATGGACGGAGATGTGCCACAATGCGATAGTATATAGCACAGACGAGAGAGCATGTACACATCATAGAATTCAGAGCAGAGCTGATTATAGACTAAGCAGGGCTTGACATTTGATCTTACGCAAAAAGTGCAGAGCAAATCCCATACCTTTCTATATAGTGCTACTGCCCATGTATAAACTTGTCGACGCAATGACAATGGGCACTCTGTAATGTTCTACAGCGTGTAAAACATGTGATCAAAATGCTTCAAGCATGTTTTTACACGTTTAAACCATGCTTGAAACATTTCTTAGGCAACTGGAAAATATTTGGCAACATGCTTCCCCTCCACTAATCGAACTCCACAAGGATGAACCCGCTTCCTTGCCCCGAGGCACAAACTGGAGCGTCTTCGGGTCCCTTCGAGCTCTCTGGATCAGACCTTGCAGGTGCTCTTTCAGGGGCCCGCCGCCCGGCATGCCGGTCGCTCTCCCGCGCTCCAGGGCGCTCGTGGGACTGGCTCGTGCGACTCTCCCCGTGGATGCCACGACAGTGGACACCCTAACAGTCCTATCATCGAACTCTGAACGTGCTCAAAAACTGCAGGAAGCATGTCCCGAACACGTCTTTCACATGTTCCGCACGTGTGTGAAGCATGCTTGAAACATCCTTTACACATCTGGAACGCCATCGCGGATCCAAGAGATCTGCGCGGAGCGCCCAAAGTGTTATGTTTGTGGCGTCTTTCCTCCTCCGATGTGCCCCCCCCCCCCCCTGTCGCTGCAGCGGATAGCGCCGCACGCCGCCCACAACACCCGGAGGCTGGCTCCGCTCCCCGACCCTCTGTCGCCGCGGCCTGCTTGGCAGCACGCTTCCTCTCCACCCAATCGACGTCCACAAGGCCCGCGCGACTTCCCCCACGAAGCCACGCGCGCGTGGCTCGGGAACACGCGTGCCCAGCACGGGCAGACATGGCCCCGAGGACCGCCCTGGGGAGCCCTCGCGGGCGCCTCCTGGGCCGTCCTGGGCCGTCCTGGAGGCGGCCCAGGAGGCCCGAACCGTCAGAATCCACTGGCTGTCTTCCGATTTTGCCGTGCACCGCCTCAGCCCAGAGAGGGGCCCACGAGGGAGAGCACGAACTGCCATCTGGGCCCTCCGCCCAAGTTGACCCAAGATCACCCCAGAGGCCCCCGAAGTGCCCTTCAGAGGCCCCCAAGAGGCCGCGGGAGGCCCAAGTCAGACCCCAAGAAGCCCCCAAGAGACCCCGAGACGCCCCCAAAAAAACGCCTCCAAGAGGCTTCCGAGAGGTCTCCCAAGAGATCCTCACAAGCATCCTTGGGGCCTCTGACCGATAACCCAGGCACGGTGGCGGGATGGGTAGATAGGCTTGCCAGCAGGAGGTCTCGACCAATCTTGGCGGGTGGGTTCGTGGCAGCCGCCTCAAGGTAGTGTTCATGTGCAGTTTCCTGTGGATGTACACCTGAAGTCGTAGTGCGTTGCGCCTACATCTTGGTTGCTTATTGCAGTGACTGGTTTGCAATGTGATTGTTTGCATGGCTGCGTGCATACCCCCGTGCTTGTTCAGTGGTGTCTGGCCTTGTTGTATGATGCATGTTTGCTTGTATACCCGATGCTCGAACGCGCCAGGCACGAAGCAGATCACGTTTGAAGCTGCGTGTTATATGCAATGTGTGTACACCAGCTTAAATTCTTGAGTCACGTTGCCCATGCACTCCCTAGCGAAATCTGGGTGCAAGCAATTGAAGGTACCGCTCCTCCCAAAGTCAGTTCCTCTGCCCCTGGAGGCCGTTGCAGTGGCCCTGCGAATGTGGTGAGCGAAGAGCACCGCCAAACACAAGAGCAGGCAGGCCATTCGCGATAGCATGATGTGGAAATGTGATGAAGGCTGGAAGGCGCTGTGGCCAGCGTCACCCAGCCGCTCGGCGGGGAGGGGCGCTCTCTGCACATTGATCGCACCAAATGGATTGCACAACATAGATCACACCACATAGATTGCACAACACGAATCACACCACATAGATCGCGCGACATGTACTGCGCCACACAGCTTGCACCGCATAGATTGCATCACATCTATTGCACCACCCATATTTCCCCACAGATATTGCCTAACATAGATTGCACCACAAAGGCTGCAGCAAATGGATCGCTCACAATATATTGCAAACATAGATCGCTTCACATATAAATATTACAACGCAGAGACTGCCCAATTTATATATATAGCCTCACGTAGATTGCACAACATAGGGCGCACCACATAGATTGCACCACGGAGATTGCAGCACATAGATTGTGCAACACATATTGTACCACGCAGGCTGCACAACGTTGATCGCACCACATAGATTGAACAACGCAGATTGCACCGGATATCTTGCACCAGATAGAGCACACCACACGGATTGCCACATAGATTGCACCACGAAGCTTGCTAGAAACGCACTGTTTAGGGCCCACACTGGCTAATACTCGCTCCTTGTAAATAATATTATTTCTTGTCGCATGCTTGCCCCAAACATTGCTTGCACTCAGGCGTTCTTCATTCTCTTCAATGGAACTGCGCCCGAACGCGGTCCCGGCGGCCACGTTCAACCCCGTCGTCGCACCATCTTTATACAGGAAACGGCCACTTTGCGGCCCCGGCGGCCTCGTCCGCGCCCGTCTGCGCCGCCTGGTTGCACCCCCTCGCGTTGCATTGCAATCGTATTACAGTGCATTGCAACCACATGGTTTCGCATGGTTTCGCATTGCTTCGCAGTGCTTTGCATTGCTGGGCATTGCTTTGCATTGGCTCGCCTTGCTTTTCGTTGCTTTGCATTGGTTCGTATTGCTTCGCATCGTGTTACATTGATTTGCACTGTTTTACATTACGTTGCATTGCTGGACATTGCATGGCATTGCGTTGCACTGCGTTGCGTTGCTTTGCGTTGCTTTGCGCTGCTATGCATTGCTGTGCCTTGCTTTGCATTGTTCTGCATGTCTTTGCATTGCTGTGTTTTGCTATCGCATTGTATTGCAGCGCGTTGCTTTGAAATAGCTTCGCAGTGCTTCGCATTGCTTTGCATTGTATTGCATTGCGTTGTTTGGAATTGCTTGGCATTGGCGCGCGTTGCTTTTCATTGCGTTGCCTCACGTTGTTTTGCGTTGCGTTGCCACGTTGGAGGATTAACATCGTCACGTACCTAAAGAGGCTCTAAGCGTGGACGTCCCTCGTGCAAGCCGAAGATGCCGATGATAACGTCTTCCAGAAAACCTTCGTTGACATGAACGAACCAAACACCGTGACATAAAACATCTTCGTAACCATATTCATCTACATAAAGATCACGTGAAATTCAGGCGCGCTCCACAGTCGTCCACAAATTGTGCGGAACATGCGCGAGGTGGTCAAGACGAACGGATTGTGCCCCCAAGGGGCTCATACTACGGCGTCGAACTGTCGACACGAACATACGATGTCTTCCACATGATCCACGCGTGATGTCCTCTCCCTCTCCCTCTCTCCTTCTCTCTCTCTCTCTCTTTCTCTCTCTCTCTATCCATATGTGTCGCTCTCTCTCTCTCTCTCTCCCCTTTCTTTCCTCTCTCTCTCTCTCTCTCTCCCTCTTTCTCTGTATGTATATATACGCATTTGAATCTATACACCTACAGAAATGTTGTTCTCTCTCTCTCTCTCTCTTTCTCCATCTCTCTCTCTCTCTCTCTCTCTCTCTCTCTCCCTCGTCGCATCCTCGGGGGGGCATGACCAGTGAGATCCCCTTTTGGCGTATCAATATGGACATTCCACGTTTAGACTGTCCGTCAAATCACTGAGATGAAAAATGCTACACTTTAAAAGACCGAGTGGAGCTATGTGCAAAACCTTATCAGCCAGCGTTGCCTCAATCATAGATAGGGGGATAAGAGGAGGACGAGAGGAGGATGGGAGGAGGACGAAAGGAGGGCAGGAACAGGACGGGAGGATAACGGGAGGAACAAAATCAAGCAAGCGCAAGCAAGCAAGCGGAAGCAAGCAAGCGCAAGCGAGCAATAACAAGCAAGCAAGAGCCAGCGATCAAGCGCAAGCAAGCAAGGGCAAGCAAGAGCAAGCAAGCGAGAGCAAGCGCGCAAGAGCAAGCAAGCAAGTGTCATTGGGAAATACAGGGGGGGGCATGAGAAACACGGGGGATGCCATGGGAAAAAAGGGGGGGCTAAAGACAAATTACTTACGATGAGCTAGGACTCCTATAGGGCAAGCCAGTTTTGAGATTGACGTCGAAATTTCCCACGCTACAGGGTTCACCTCGATGTCGTTCCTTCGTGCGTCGCTGTAGGATTTGGACGTTCTCGCCTTGTCGAGCTTCCGACGCTCCGAGACGGTTCAATAAGCTCACAATACATAGCACCCCGCAATTGCGGATAAGAGTGAGGGGGCGGGCGCGGGCGACGCGGACGTCGTCGAGCCGGCGGAACTCGTGGCCCCCACCTTCCCTGTCGATGGCGCTCTCCTCCTCCTCCTCCTCCTCCTCGTTCTCCTCCTCCTCCTCCTCCTCCTCCTCCTCTTCCTCGTCCTCGTCCTCGTCCAGCCCAAACGGACACCGCGAGGGCCCCGGCGCGCGAGACTGGCAGGAGGACCCCAGAAGGCCCCCCAGAGCCCCAGGAGGCCCCACATGCTGAGAACCCGTAGCGCTTGTAAGCTGGAGACTACACTGTGACCCTACAGAGCTCAAGTCTCGCGCTGCAGCCTCCAGCAGCGTGCATCAAGCGTATCGGCTCTCACGAAGCAGATGGGTATCACTTACGACTTCGGTTTGCACTGGCGAGTATCATCCTCCTCCTCCTCCTCCTCCTCCTCCTCCTCCTCCTCCTCCTCCTCCTCCTCCTCTCCTCCGGTCTCAGTATGTGTCCTCGTTAGCCGACGCGTTCCAGACGAGTCTCGTCCTCGTTAGCGACGCGTTCCAGACGAGTCTCGCCCGAACGCGTTCGGCAGAAGCACTGGTGCTTTTCTCCTTCTCCCCCTCCTCCTCCTCCTCGTGCTCGTTTTCCGCAGATCCCTGCTGCCGCGCTCTCCTGGCCGTCGTCTTCCTAATGCGAGCTTGTGTGCGGAAGCACCTGCTCCTGCTTCTGCTCCTCCTCTGCTGGTCCTTCCTGGGAGGCCTTTCGAACGCAAACTTGGGGTTCTGCTTCCGTGACCTCGCGCTGGGGCTCCTCCTGGAGCCCTCTTGGGGATCTCTTGGGCTGGCCTTGGGCCTGTTGGAGCCCCCTGGGGGATTGGTCATGAAGCTCCCTCCCAGGGCCTCCACGATGTCTGAGCCCATGGCGGCGGGCTCCGAGGGCCCAGGTTTTAAAAACACAAGGTAAATGAGGGCCGGCACCCACTCCTGCAGCCATCTTGGGACCCTCTTGGGCTAGCCTGGAGCCTGCTGGCGGCCTCTGGGAAATAGACCTTGGACCATGTCCGTGGGCCCTCAAGATGTCTGGGCCTACCACTGCGACCTCGGAGGCCGGAGGCACCGAAACTCGGCAGAAACACCGGAAAAACGAGAGCCCGCAGTCGTTTCTGGAGCCGTCCTGGAGCCCTCTTGGGCTGCCCAGGAGCCTGTTGGAGCCCTCTGCGGAATGGTCTTGGAGCCCGCGCCGAGGATCTGGAACATGTCTGGGGCCGTCGCGGCGGCCTCCGAGGCCCAGGACGCGGAAACCTTGTGAAAACACAAGGGAAACGAGCCCTGGTACTCCCGTGGAGGGTGGGGGCAGCTGCTGTCGGGCCCCAGGCTTGCCCCCCCGCCTTCCCCGTTATTTCCCGCCACTCGTCCGACCTGGTAATTAGGAGGGGTCAAAACTTGTCCAGCCCGCGAGTGCGGCACGGAACCGATCGTGAGACACAGGGCGCTTCCCCGCGCCGCTTCTTCCCCATCTCCTCCTCGGCCGCCTGCTCGCATCTTTCTCGGCGCTGGGCCCCCTCTCTGGCGCGCGGAGCGCGCCAGGGGCGGCGGTGGAGGCGCCACCAGGGGGCTCCAAAGCAACTCCAAGAAATCCGCACGGAACTCCGACAGTTTGTGTTTTTTGTTCCCGTTGTTCTTCTTCTAACCGTGCTGGAAAAGGGCATCTGCCGACGCGGTTGAAAAGGACATCTGGCGACGAAACGGCCTGCGGTGAGCGAGGAGGAGGACTTCTCGGGGGTTGCCAGAGGTGCCCTGGACCCAGAGTGCCCCCAGGTTCTCGCTCCGTTCTGGAGCCCGGCGGGGCCCTCTGGGCCTCGCGAGGGGTGCTCTGGAGGCCGCCTGGGCCACCACGAGCATCCCGGGGGCACCTGGGGCGAGGGCTGACGGCGCGCAGAGGGTGCTGTTTTTTTTTTGGGGGGGGGGTGCTCGGCCGCCGAGGCCCTCCCTGGGCCCCACGACCGTGAAGAAACGACTCAGGATGAGAAACCGGCCCGTGGGAACGGATCGGGGCTCCCAGGCTGCGCGCATCGACAGACATCCACACGTCGCACGTCTGGGAAGGGGGAGGGGGGGAGGCTTCTTCGAAGGAGGCTGCGTCTCAGGAGGCGCTGGCCCTGCATCTGTGGACAAGGCCCGCGCCTTCCGAGACGCAGGGGTGCCTCTGAGAAGCCCTCCCACCCCCTTTGGCGCGCGGGGCTGACCAAAGTCGAGTCGGAAAGGCGAAGCGGCACTCGAAACACGTCGAGTCGGAAAGCCGAAGCGGACATCGAAGCACATCGAGTCGGCAGGCAGACCGAAGGGCATCGGGATGGACGCCCACCGGCCCAGGGCGGAAGCTGCGCAGACTCTCCGTGGGGCGGCGCCGCCTCCATCTGACCCTCCCGGGCGAGGCTCCTGTCCGGAGAGCCCCAGGACGTGTGTCACAATCGTGCCCAGGACGTGTCAAAATCGTGCCCAGGGCAAGAGCATGAGGCCCCCCGCGAGCCGAAAGAACACAGAGCACCCAGAGCTCCTCTCCCCAGGATGCACAGGGAACATCCCAAAAGCACGAAGAGCCCCAGGGCACCCTCCCCGAGCCGACCTCGATCTCATACCTCGGTCCGCCTGCAACGCCAAACAGTGGTGGTTCACGGCAGCCCTGCGGTGCGACGAAGGCGGTGTGAATGAGGGCCGGGGCAGGCTGCGTGCGACCGGCGGAGCCGATCGGGGCAACACACACATTGGGCTAACACACGTCCTGAGGACCATCGACCCCCGCTCCGCCCGAGGGGCAACAGTAGGGGTCGTCCCAGAGCCCAGACCCCTTCGGGTCATGAAAAAATCGCGGCCGGGGGTTCGTTGCTATCTTCGGCCTCGCGGGGCCCTCGCGGGGCCTCGGGAGCGTCATCAAAAACGACCCAGGATGAAAAACCGGTCCCAGGGACTGGGTCGGGCGGGACGGAGGGAAGGGGCGGGCCACGACTGCGGACAGATGTCCGCCCCTACCTCAGGCCAGGTGGGTGAGGCCGTGGCCTCAAGCTGGCTGACTGACTGACTGATCAAGCATATACCAAGCGGTGCGTGGGCAGGAACGCTGGCATAGAGAAAAGCCCAGGCACAGGCTACACGCCGGGCCACTGCCGTCGATTCCCAGTGAAAAGCTGTGCTTGTGCGCTGTGGGGCAATGGGCACCACAAGAGGGATGGGCGCGCAAGCGGGTCCCACTGGGACGACCAAGAGGAAGCGGAGGAGGAGGAGGAGGAACATGAGGAGGAGGACACAACAAAGTGCGGGATGGAGGAAGAAGGGAGGCGAGAGACGACCAGGGCCGCGTTCAGAGCGGTGGCCCGCTGGCGCCTGCCAAGGCTCCACCGCGCCTCCTCTGGGGCGAGGGGGGAACGCACGCAGTCCAAACGTGTACAGTCGCCTACCTTCACGCGCCGCGCCCCGCGATTCGCGACGCGCCGCCATCTTCGCGCCCTTGCGAAGCCGCATTGGAGAAAGGCAATTGCCAAGCGCCGGCCGCGACGCGCCAAGCGCGATTCTCTTCGCGCCCCCGGGTGACCTAAGCAGCGCGGGTCGAGAAAATGAGTCCTTTCGCCGCGGCCTCGGGGCGCCGTGGAGGCACTCAGGGCGAAGACCATTCCAAGGTGGAGCCCCGACGCGAACAACAGAAGGGTGGCCTTCCAAGGCCTGGGTTGCTCTTGCAACAAGTTGTTGTGTTGCCGGCTTCGACGTTGGCTTCTGACACCGTGTGGATTGTTCAACTTCGAATGATCACAACTTCACGATAGCTTGGATCGTTCGGCGGCGTTCAACCTTGAACGCCCGCGCTGGGGTCGCCACCGCGTCGATACTTTGGGGCACATAAATCCACCCCCACCCCCACATAAAGCCAACCCACCCCGACCTACGCACCCTAGGCTGGGATGGGTGCCGTGTCCTCCGCGTTTTGTGGCGCCAGTCCCCACCAAGGGAGCGTACGCTGGGAAAGCCACCTTACCTGTCGCCTGTCATTGTGGAGGTTGGGAAGGCTGTGATGATGATGATGATGATGATGATGATGCTGATGCTGATGATGATGATGATGATGATGATGATGATGATGATGGCTATGATAATGGCGATGGTGATGATGGTGATGCTGATGACGCTGACGCTGGTGTTGATGTTGGTGATGGTGACGGTGATGGTGATGCTGATGGTATTGCTGCTGATGATGCTGTTGATTATGGTGCTGCTGCTGATGAAGTTGATGCTGCTGCTGATGATGATGCAGATGATGATGCTGATGCGAAAGCTGATGATGACGATGATGACGATGATGGTGATGATGATGCTGACGCTGATGCTGACATTGACGCTGACATTGCTGTTGATGATGGCGCCAGTCCACACCAAGGGAGCGTACGCTGGTAAAGCCAACTTACCCTGTCGCCTGTGCTTGTGGAGATTGGGAAGTATCTGATGATGCTGATGGTGATGATGATGGTGATGATGCTGATGAAGCTGACGCTGACGCTGACGCTGGTGTTTTTGTTGGTGATGGTGATGGTGATGTTGATGGTATTGCTGCTGATGATGTTGTTGCTGATGGTGCTGCGGCTGCTGATGATGCTGATGCTTTCGATGATGCTGTTGCTGACGGTGCTGCTGTTGCTGATGATGCTGATGCTGTCGATGACGATGATTATGATGCTGATGATGATGCCGATGATGATGCTGATGATACCGATGATGATGATGATGATGATGATGATGATGATGATGATGATGATGATGATGATGATGATGATGATGAGGCTGCTGATGATGATGCTGATGCTGATGATGCTGATGCTGATGCTGATGCTGATGCTGAGATGCATGGGGCTCACCTTGGGCCCCGAAGGATCCTGCGGCTCAGTCGGCCCCAGGCCTGGCCGGGAGCCGTCGTGCGCCAGGACCTGGTCCCAAAACGGGACCCGCGGAGGCCCCGTGGTGGCGCATGCCCCAGGGATCTGCTTTTGCAGGGATCGCGCTGCTGTAAGGCACGTTGATCGAGGAGCAGCAAAGTGTTGTGGACGCCGTGACAATGGGCACTCTGACTCTCCGATCACAGAATGACAGCTGTGGTTAACATGCTGGATGACATGTTCTGAGCATGTTGAGCACATGTTTGTTTACAAATTTAAGGCATGTTCGAAACGTGTTTGAGATATCTGGAAATTGTTTGGCAGCACGCTTCCTGTCCATTGATCGACCTCCACAAGCAAAGGGGGGTCTTCTGGCCAATGCTAGCCTCGGCCACAAGTAGGCCCCCCGATCTAGATGTAAGCAACGGCCTGACTAAAACAGCGCCTCTCCTGGTCCCGACGTGGTTCTTGCTTCAATGCCTTAGCCGCATGGCGTGTTCCATGTAGTCGGATTCGATTCGAGAGGGCACGCGAGAGGACGCAAGACCCCCCCGAACACGACGAGGCGCCACAGTGCTCCCCTTGCCCCAGGAGTGTAGATGGCGCAAGGGCACCCTGGATTTGGCAGGGCCGACCTGCCAATCAAACCCATCTGCACACGATCCAAAGGAATCTCGACCCTTGTCCCAGGGCTTGCTCTTCGTCCCCAATCTTGAGCTCTGACGATCCTGGGGGGCCCGCTGAGGGCCGTGGGAGGCCGAGAAAGTCGAACGACAACCTGCCCTGACACTCTCCATCTCCTCGGAGGTCTGGGGCGCTTCCTCTCCCGATCAAGATGGCGAGCGGGAATAAGATCGAATATCATGGGAAAAAATACTAGAGCTCTAACGAATTGTCAAATTTTGAAAACAAAATTTTCAACCGACTAAAACAGGTCCGTCGAGATTTTTCTTGCCAACTAGCTCTCCAGCTCCCCGGAATTACTCTTAAGCTTCCAGCGTCCTCTGCTTCACCAGGTTCCTCTGCGCCCTCCTGCGCTGCGCCCGGGAGCGCCGCGCGGGCACCGAAGCAGGCGCTGGTCGGCCGACCCCCAGGTCGGCCGGAGCCGACCTGGAGCGCGGCAACCGCTCCCGACGCCAACGCGCCTCGATCTCGTCGACCACGTTTAGGAACGTCGCCCTCTGCTCGATGGCGCACCCTGGCGAAAACTGCCACGCATCTGAGGCGACCGCGTCGGCGGACCAGCCACGGGAACCGCTCGGCATCGAGGAAGCCATGATGGCTCGCGACAACCCCTTCGTGTGCCGCTGCCCCGGCGAGCACCGTCCCAACGGCAGCCCTGAAGCCAGAGCAGCTGCGGACATTGAGTTTGCACTGGTGGGCAAGAGGGGGTCATAGCGAGGGGGGCCAAACGGTCATACGCCGTCCCTGAATGCTCGGCATTTCGCGCGGTTCCGCAGTGCGGAATGCCGTTATTGTTGTGGAACTCCCACGAGCGGAACAAAATGATCGACGATTCCCCCTCAGTGGTGCCCAGTGTGTTTTTTCAACTGAATTGTTCCCCGCGGCTCTCATTGAATTTTGCGCTTCGAAGTGGAACGTGATGCTGCCCCCCGCTACAACAGCAACAACAACAACAATCATCCGAATAATGTTCACTCTTATCTGCTCGCGTGCAATTCCGTATGTCCCACACCCTCGATACCCGCCTTTTCGTCTTCGATCGTGCCCCATTCGGGGCACATCCCTGTTACCTCCTACGTGTATTGCGTGCAGCCCCTAAGGCAAACTAATTCGCTTGGCGAAGGACCCAACCATGAGGAGAACGAGGAGAATGGGGAGGATAAGGATGAGGAGGAGAAGGAGGTGGAGAAGAGGAGGCGGAAAAGGATGGGGAGGCAGAGGGAGAGGAGCACGAAGAGGAGGAGGAGGAAGAGGAGGAGGATGAAGAGGAGGAGGGGGGAGACGGAGAATGAGGAGGAGGACGAGGACGAGGAGGAAGAGGAGGAAGGAGAGGAGGAAGAGGAAAAGGAGGAGGAGAAGAGGAGGAGGAGAAGGAGGAGGGGGAGGGGGAGGCGGCCAAGGAGGAGGAGGAGGAGGAACAGGGGGGGGGGGGACAGGAGGATGAGGAGAGGGAGGAGCAGAAGAAAGAGGAGGAGGCTGAGAAGGAGCAGGAGGAGGAGGATGAGGAGGAAGAGGAGGAAGAGAAAGGGGAGGAGGAGGAAGAGGAGGAGGGAAAGTGGGGAGGGGGAGGGGGAGGATGAGGATGAGGAGGGAGGAGGAGGAGGTGATGGAGAAGGAGGAAGAGGAGGGGGAGGAGGAGGAGGAGGAGGGGGGGGGGGAGAAGGGGGAGGAGAAGGACGAGGAGGAAAAGGAAGAGGAGAAGCAGGGGAGGGGGAGGGGGAGGAGGAGGAGGAGGAGGAGGGAGGAGGAGGAGGAGGAGGAGGAGGAGGAGGAAGAGGAGGAGGTGGAGGAGGAAAAGGAGGAGGAGGAGGAGGAGGAGGAAGAGGCAGAGGGGGAGGAGGAGGGGGGGGGGTGGGGGAGAATGGGGGAGGAAGAGGAGGAAGACGAGGAAACAGAGGAGGAGGGGGAGGGGGAGGGGGAGGGGAATGGGGGGGAAGGGAAGGAGGAGGAGAGGGGGAGGAGGAGGAGGAAGAGGAGGAGGAGGAGGAGGGGGAAGGGGAGAAGAGGAGGGAGGAGGAGGAGGAGGAAGAGGACGAGGAGGAGGATGAGGAGGCGGAAGAGGGCGAGGAGGGGGAGCAGGAGAGGGGGGGGGGGAGAAGGGGGGAGGAACAGGAGGAAGACGAGGAAACGGAGGTGGAGAAGGAGAGGGAGGGGGCGGGGGAGGGGGATGAGGCAGGGGGAGGAGGAGGAGGAGGAGGAGGAGGAGGAGGAGGAGGAGGAGGAGGAGGCGGAGGAGGAGGAGGAGGAGGAGGAGGGGGAGGAAAAGGAGGACAAGGAGGAAGAGGAGGATGAGGAGGGGAGGAGGAGGAGGAGGAAGAGGAGGAGGAGGAGGTGGGAGGAGGAGGAGGAGGAAGAAGAGGAGAAAGTGGAGGAGGAGGAGGAGAAGAAGGTGATGTTGGAACAAACCTCCTCGACAATCCTGTCTGATAGGCCCTTACAACGATTCATTTCCCCGGAGGGGACCGCCCCGCTGGAATACAACCGTTTGAAGACCCTGAAGCATGCGAAAACATGTTTGTCGAGCCCAGTGCCACGGATCAACCTGACTGTTGCGTCTAGGCGGTCCTGAATCGTACCATTCCTGGGACTTCAGCACCGCGATCCAACGTAACTATTGCACCCTCAAAACTCAAAACCCTCAATACCTCCCAAACACAATTTTTGTACGCTGATCGTGGGAATCCCAGAAACTCTTTCAAACATCAAGCGAATGCGCGGGGCGCTAAAGCGAGAACCACATTTTGGAAAAGGAACAGCCCCCAATCCGTGAAACTCTTACAATGGTTTAAAGCGACTGCGCGCGCGGCTAAGCTGAGAGCCACAGTTTGAAAACCAGTCGCCTCCAGTCCATGAAACTCATGGAAATGTGTAAAACGAGTGCGCGCGGCGATACGGCGAGAGCGACATTTTGAAACGACACGCCGTCCATCTGTGAAAACGACCCGCCCTCCATCAGAAATGGAGAGGAAAACTCAGGGGGAACGCCCGGACGGCCAAGGGGTCTCCGGAGTATACAAATCCTTGAAAACGGTGAAGGCCTCCCTGAAGAGCCTTTCGGCCCCCCTGAAGGGCTTCGTTGCCCCCTGGAAAGCCTTTCGGCCCCCCTGAAAAGCGCCCTGACCCCCTTAAGCGTGGCGAGGAGGAGGAGGAGGATATTCAAAGGAGGAGGAGGAAAAGGAGGAGGAGGAGGAGGAGGAGGAGGAGAGGGATGATATAAACAGAAGTGGGGATCGCTCGAAACAAAAAATGATGTTATGCTCTGTTCTCTTATGATCCACTATGTCATGGTATATACATACATATATATATATATATATATACACACACTGAACCCATGGCGCGCGCCTCGCGCGCGCGCTCAACTTCTAGCTAGGCTTGATGGGCGAACGCATGGAATATCATCCTTGTCGCGTCTTGCATCCAAGGACTCTCTTGGAGGCCCTGCGCAAAGCTCGGAATCGTATAGAAAGAGAACTGCGGCAACGCAAAGGTCACCACTTGCCGTGAGGTGTTCAATGATTTGGGACCCTCGACGGTTTCCTGGGTTCTTTTCTGGGGCCTTAACTGTGGTCTGTTGTGCAAAAAGTAGACAAGGCGGGGGCCAATTTAGAAGCAACAGAAAAACGGAATGGTGGGATGTCCCGTGTTTCCTTTGTTTACGTTGTACTGCCTGGGCTGCGGGCTAGACGTTCTCCGCATGCAGGCCACGGTATGTTGGGATGCCTCTTGGGGTCTTCGTGCAAAGTTAAGCAGGGGGTGAGTTTGAAAAAAAAAAAAACGTATACAATCCCACTGCTTCAACGCCTGGGATCATGGGACCTCGATCTCTTAAACATCATTCAAGGGACAGCCAAGAGGACACGAAGATGACCCAAGAGAGTGCCAAGGCAACGTCAGACAGTTCAGCAACATTCCCGAAACATTGTTGCATGTGACCCCGAAGTTGCGTCAGACTACCTGGATACATTGTTGCATTGTTGCATTGTTGCGTCAGACTACCTGGATACAATTCGCGACCTCAAGCAGCGCTACCACAATAGTTCGCACACGTTGACTTAGCCAACTCACGACACCCGTATACTCAACACCGCGATGGTGCCACTATGGCGCTCAGAGCTCTACCTATGCCCAAATCCAACTGTCCGACGGCAGAGTACAACTCGCACCCTACACCAAAGCCAAGGTTCCCGGCGCACAATGAAGAAAGGCCATACTGGGGTTTACTACCTCCTGTTCGTCAACTTCTACATTAACTTCAGTTAATGATTTACTAACCAGAATCGTGTCACCTCAACTCAAAGGAGTTTGCACTCCGCGTCCCCTTTCGGTATGAGGTCCAGTGAAGTCTTCTCCTCTATCCTCTCACGAACTTGAGACCAACTTTACGCCTTACTTCTGGTCTGGGCCCCCATCACCAACGAGGTCACGTGTTAACCTTTAAACCCTGCGTAGTAGCCCAATAATTGCTACGAGAGCCTTTTCTACCATCACAATTATGCTGTAAGCTGATTGTGCCATTCAGAGGTCACGACCAGAGCAAGCCTATTCAGTTGCTGGTCTACTGCTCCCTGTGAGTTTAATCACTGCGCCTCATCTTTTTGGACATGGGGATGCGTGGGGAGGTGGGGGGAGCACATCAGCGTACTGACAGCCGCAGTCCACAAACTATGTATTAAACTTAACATAGTATCGCCACCAGCTTAGGCCAGCCATGTCGCATAATGCTTGCCTCAGCGTAGCTCAGCAAAGCTCAGTACCGAGACAATGGCCACCAATATCTACCAGCTGCAAGCCGTCGCCTCTTTCTTCAACTGACTCTACTGTGGGGATGGGACTTGGAATGTGTGAGAATGGAGGCTGGGATGAGGAGAACCTTCGGTCCTCCCTAATCGTTGGGTAGAGCACTACGCAGCCACTCTTACGAAGCTGGCGCTTTACCAAGGACTCCTACATAGGCCGACCTTCGGCCTGGCAAGCCTTAATACTAAGGGAGAGTGAATTACGTGACTGGAGGGAGCTTGCTGGGGATGAGGTGGGCAGACAGATTGTTCCAAGCACGTGCATAACAAGGCACATCGCCCGCTGCACCACCGCCACTTTGCAACTTACCCCCGCCTTACAACCTCTATTATGCCCTACACGTCTCCGTGCAGCTGCTGCCATTACCATCGCACGCATCACGCCCAATGGTTCACCCAGAAGGGCCAGCCAGTACCGCCTACGCCAGCGACAACAGGAGTACACAGCTTACGCCAGCCATTACGCATGCGCCAGCCTCGTTACAAAGATGTTTACTATGCGAGACAACTTTAAACTTCCAAGCTGTAGGCCAAACAATGCCGGCTGCGCTAATCTCACACACAGCCAGCTAGACCGTCTGGAACACTCATCTCGCGGGTGCCAGCCCTCAGCACCGTCATTACGTATGAGCCAGCCTCTTTACAGGTGATCAACGCTTTCCTCTACTCGCATTTCTGTGATACTAATATTTGCTATGCATTGCCACTTGGCACGTCGGTAGGGGACGAGCACCCAGGACAAGTCCCACTGTCCTACTGTGGACTACCCACAACAGCAACCTGATCTAGCATATACAGACTCGCCCAACTGTTTACCTTCTGAATCGTCGCCTGCTCTGTTTGTTTCTGTGCCACACTGCGCATTACTTTTTA